TCCTGAGCAGGGGTCATGCGCACAGAGGACATGTCCTGGCTTGAGCACGTATTGTTGCGACTTGTTTTTGGTCTAACGGTCTTACTAGAAAAGCCGGCGCCAGGTTGATAACCACTGCGCCAGCTGCAATGCTGGATGGCAGCTGAAAGACAGGAAATGCCAGGCCAGGGTGAATTGCTTGGTCTTGGTGCATCTCGGTTCATTTCCATGAGCGCTGGGAGGCCGTAGCCTGCCCTGCGAACTCCGCCGGCACAAATGTGGGATCTGGGTGCAGCTGCAATGCAGGTGCTGTGGGATGGCATGGACGGCTGTGCGTCCGTTGAGGTGCATGCTTGACCTCAGCAGGCTATTCCGGCAGCATCGCAGCTGCTTCCTCCGCGCCCTTCTACACAGGCATCGGGTGTCGTAAAGCAGCAGAGCTTGGAAGATGCATGCTGAGTGCGAGATCCTCCAGCCTCTTGCATGTCAGTGGCGCAGAAGGAATCGGATCCTTTTGAAGGGTTGTGGTTAGCAGACTGAACTGAGGACGCCTTTGCCACGGGCCCGAGATAATCCTTCACCACACTCTTTTTGATGATTCGGGCTTTTCTAGGCATATTGATGAGTGAGGGCATATGGTGGAAGATGGGGAAACTACTTGTAGAAATCGAAAATCGAAACCCTGCTTCAAACGGCAGCCCAGACTGGACCTCAAGCAGGCTCCGAAAGAAAGCTCCTCGTTCCTTATTACCGAAATCGGATCTCTGGCATGAGCTAAAGGCCTCGAGAGAGTCTTCGAGTGTCCCCAAAGAACGGCCCCGATGGGGGAGATTCGTTGAAAGCAGGTCTCCGTGCCTTGAAGAGAAGCAACCGGTTCAGGTTCTTGCAACGCCGTTGCCTGCCCATACGCATCGACCGGGGCGAACGCGGCTGGGTCGGAAGTCTGTGTGCAGCTTTCCACCAAGCTTTGCACAGGAGCCGACTGTTGACGGCACATGTCATATGAAAAGTTTCCAAACTCGGCGAGTCCGATTCAGAGGGCACAGGATTGGACTCTCAGTCTGACGCACGGGAAGTCAGGTTCCTGCTGGATGCAAGTGCTACGCCGGCTACGAGGGCAGTGTGACAGCCAAAACAGGTGGGTGTTGTGCAGTTCTGCATTCGATCAGCTTTGCGGGGTGTTCTCGTGACATTTTTCGGATCCTTTTGCTTACTTCTGAGCCACTTGTGACAGCGGCTGTCAAGTAGCCCGTGAGGAGGGGTCTCCATTTTGCAGGCTTTGCGCATCTTTGCGCGGTTCGCAGTCTTTTGTCGACAGGCTCGCCGTTCTACACTTACAGCTGCAAGGCGCAGAGAGCGCATGTTGCAAGCTCGGGCCGGTGATGCCGGTTGAGCCGGATAAGTCCCAGCCGTAGCCTGGCGAGCCTTGACAGAGAGTCGTTAGACGAGCTACGAACCTGCTCCCGACATGAAGCCCAGTTGGCAGTTCGACTCTTTGCGTCTCGGTTTCGGAAGTTGCTACATGCACCTGTGCCCTTGCCAGTCTGTGCTCGTTGGCGGCACCTTCGCCCTTCATGCCACGGTCCACAATCGCTTCCTGCGCATGAACGGCCACCCGGTGCTTAGTGATGTTGGCCATACTTGCAAGCTCGGTCTTGAACACTTCAGATCGCACGTTGCTGTTCTCCGCAATTCCCATAGGCAGTTTTCAGATGTGCTACTCGCAGGGTCACACTATTGATACTCTGGTGTCCTGGCGCCTGAATCGAAAATCAAGCTCAAAGTGGCTTGGACTCGTCAAGGGCCCTAAACCCCCTCGAAAGAAATACCAAGGTGAGGACATGGAGCGGACCTCGGCTAAGGCCAGTGCACCTAGACCGCACAAATGAGCTGCGCTTATGTCAATGGGTGACAAAGCCGTGTCAACGTTCGGTTCGGTGCAAACGCCCCCAGCCCACAGCCGCTGGGCGCTGCTCGCCGAACCAAAATTGTTTAGTGTCTCAGCAAGTCCGTGAGGAGGCCTTGGAGAGGAGAAGGGAGACAATGTCCGAATCCACCTCCCTGAACTTGACCGACAAGCTCGGATGGGCCATGGGTTCTGGAGGTGTGTGATGTTTCCCAAGGCTAAGCTGCCATCCGACTGGGACAAGTCGTTCTTCCGCATCGTGGATGCTGGTGCAGGCGACCGGATGCGGGACCCTCCGCTTGGAGAAGTTTCCGTGACCCGAAGTTCAGCGGCACTTGCTAGAGTTAGTAGGAGTGACACATCAGACGCAGGTGAGAGTTGCAGGAGAGAGGTCCTGGAGCGTGTATATGAATGTATATGTATACATGGTGTTACATGTATATTTGTACGTGTGTAAGTGTTAGTATGTATACACCTGTAGTGGAGGTGCGAGTTGTGCTACTTTACGCTACGCCACCCGCCTCGGCTTGCCGGAGAGCAGCACTGTGACACAACCCGCTAATGCTCAGTTACGAGGGGAAGGGGGGAGGTGGAGACGCCTGAGGCCTATGTGGCCTCGGCGGATCAGTGTTTAGTTGAAAACTACCCAAGTCCTGTCGTACGCAGTCTTGTTGACCAGTTGGAAAATGATGCACAGACATACACAAACGTGCATTGGGACGGTTTGCACCGCCATGCATTCTGACTTCGCACTTCTCCTTGCTCCAAGATCCTTGTCACTGCAAGAGCCAGTGAGGGATTGCATCAAGAAGTACCGAGCCAGTGGATGTTACTGGGCCAGAATATCTGATTGACAGGGTTTAGCGCGGGCACACCGCACATGATGACTGGCACAGCCTGGAGGCAAGATTGGCCTCTACAACGCGAAGAGCAACAAGTACATCCGAATGAACCATGAGGACTCACGCATCGATGTAAAGCAGTCGAGAGTTTTTGAAAATGTCGCGTGATTTTTCGGCTGAGACCGTCCATGCGCTCTTTGGATCAATTCCATCGTCGTTCTTTCAGGCCCACTGAGTGATGAAGCGCACTCTCTCTCAGAACATCTCAGAACAGACCGACCCGGGTGCTTGCGTCTTCGTATTCATGATTCATGGCTCCAATTCTAGCGCAGATCGCCCTCACCCATCGATTGCGTGGAGTTTCTCAGGTGGTGATCCTGGGTCCGGTCTCTTTCCCGGTGTGTAGCCTGAGATTTTTTGGTCTCCCGTTCTCCATTGGCACTTTCTCTTATGACCTCTTATACATCCCACCACAATCCCGGCGGCGGAGTTGATGCTGCCGGTATCCTTGCCGTTCGCTGCGGATCGGCCCAGGCTCTTCAGGCGTTGCTTCTGCCGCGTGCGTAGTAAGAGGTCAAGACAGCACAACGCAGGCTCTGGAGCTTGGCAGGTATAAGTGATGACCCCGGGGCCCTTCACTGAAACAAGTTTGCAGAGGGTAATTACATGCTTTCCATGAACAGTTGGGTGACGAGGACATGGACGCTGTGTCCTGGCGTAGATCCTGGGAGAGTGCCTTGGCAGATGCGCGCTTTCGGCAGCACGACTTGTGGTGTAGGACGTCTTGGCTCAACTGGAACCTTCAAGAGCCCTTTGGACCATCGCCCAATATCTCCCAGATCCCACCGACCGCTTGCAGGCTTCTCCGTGTACGATGCTGGCAAGGGCGAGATCGCTTTGCACTGCGACGTCTTCAATCGCTTTGTCCGCATGCGGGATATTGATAAGGTGGCTACCGAGCTGCAGACCAGGGATTGGGGGAATCGTAGCTGCCTGGGTGTGCCTCAGAAGCCCCAGCATGCAGCGAAGTTCACATGGGCCGAGGCCGCGACCTTTCGCAGAACACAGTAATGACGCATCACAGCAGTCGTTGCGTGTCAGCAAGGATGCCAGCGGCGCTTCCAAGGCCTTTGGCCTCTTGTGCTTAGCTGGGTTGTGACGGACGGTGTGCCGCGAGATCAATGGCGGCTTGTGCTTGAGTACCAGTATAGCAACAGTTCCGCCTCGTGTCAAAATCAAACTCCATATTCCCATGCGACGAGACTCTTCCGGCCGGCTGGACGTGGGAGCGCTTCAAGCCCGTCCAGGCGAGGCCTGATCAGCTAAGGCAAGGGCCGGGAGTCTCTGGGCAGATCCTCGGTGTCGTTTCAGAAGTCCAAACAAGCATTTGCATAAAGATCATTCGGCGCTCGTGCAGGTCCTCCTCAAGCCCGGCAGCGAGATTGCTCTGCACAACTCGATCTTCAATCGGTTCATGCGAATGCGGCTTGGTGAGATGATTAGGATGCGCTTCCGGAGTTGACCAAAAATCATGCAAGGGGTTGCCAGGGGCCAACGCAAGCTCAACTTCAGAAACCATTGAGGCACGGTGACGCCAACAAGATGGATTCCTCAGATGTGAATCCAGACCGCAAAAGATTGCTGCAAGTACTTATCTTTGCGGAGTGTAGTGAGTACTCGCATGCGCCAGAGTGCAGACATCTGCACGACACTTGTGAGAGAGCTCCAGCCTCTTTGAGCCTGTTCGAAGGAAGAACATCAATGCGCTGCCCGATGGGTGGACCTGGGAGCGTTTCAAGGCCACATGTTCACTTCCCATCGCAGATGTAGGCTTTTTAGGGATGCTAATGCCCTTAACAAATGCTTCCTGTGACTCAGCTGCCCGTCTAAGGTGGTCGAAGCTGGCTTCGGACAGGTCGCCCTCCACAGCAGCATCCACAACCGCTTTGTGCGAATGTGGGACGGGGTGCGGGCCCTGATTCCATTTGCTCACAGCAGGAAGACAGTTGTCTGTCATCAGTTGCGTGTGCATGCGACAGTGATTGCACTCCGAGGACATGGATCGAAGTTCGAACAAGGATGCCGGTGCCTTGCCCCTTGTCCGCTAAGGGACGGCCCTCACAACTAAAGCATACTAATGCCACGTAGTTGCAGCGCGTGCCACTCCGAGGCCTCCAACTTGCAGCCAGTAACTCTGAACGTGGCGATGCGTCGCCAGGCCGGATGGCTGGTGGGCAGAGCGCTTCACAGTGGTTGACTGCGGCGGCGGCAAGGCCCCAATGCCAAGAAGATGGACTTATCATGACTCATCTGTTCGATGTGTGCAATCCAGGTCGCGTTCCATAACGCACGCTTCAACCGCTCCCTGGCCATCGAGTGCCTACGTGTCCACGCATGTTTCGCATTTATGGCTGCCACAAGTGCTCACGATGAACACGACAGCATGTTTTCTGCAAGCAGTTGCGGAGAGCGTCGCGAATGATGCTACAACCATCCGAGGCTTCGTTCGAATGAACCATGGCGACATGGATCGCAGCGCGACGAAGGAGCCTCCGTGTTTTGCAACTGTTTGCAGTAAAGCGACTGTAGTACCGAACATGTACTGGGTATCAGAAGCAGCAGATGGCACTTGTTGCTTGACTCAGGAAACGGGAGGAGGCTGTATTCACTACCTAGGGCAGATGACATAACAGCTGTGATTGTTGTTGACGGCGCCATTTCCTTTGGCCTAAATTCTTTGCTTCGTCTTCCATCGTGTGACAGTCCCGGCCTCTTCCCAATGTCGAGCCATTGTTTATCCCATGTTGCTCGGGTACCCGAAAGACAAGTTGGCAACGTCGTGGAAGCCTTGCAAGCGACACACACACACAGATGTGATTGAGGATCATAGATCACCTACTTAAGAGCAAGCCGCCAGGCTGGGGATGCGCTGCCCAGCGGATGGACTTGGGAATGCTTCACACCCATTGAGGCCCTTCTGTTTTCCTCTTATCGTTCGCGCTTACAGTCTTAGCATCACCAAACAAAGCCCAAGATGCCCACACGGTGACAGGCGTTTACTTGCAAGACTGGATCTGGCAGCTACCGGGCACAAAGTAGGAGCCAAACGCCTGACCTGACATTGTTTCAGTTTCAGCTGAGGTAGCTGCAGGAGTTGCGTTGCACCCGGCTCGCGAACCGTGCGGCTCCCAAAACAAACTTCATCACTCTTAACTGATGCGGGTTTGGTCATCGCTTGAGCCCAGCCCCGCGGGTGCGTGGCTTCGAGACAGGCCACGGACCACTGCAACAGCTGCAACGCCGGCTATGCTCTCGTTGGCAGGGTGTGCAAGGCTGGTAGGAACCAGAGCCACCCTGAATGCAGCCGCCCTGATGCCTCAGAGCGAGCACGCCGTGACCAGCGCTCCGTCGGCGAGAGGCGACGACAAGACCACCACAGCGACGTGCCCGGCTGGTTGCTGGGCCAGGATCTGGTAGTGTTTCTAACTTGCTTGGAGATGGGCAACGCCATGGTGCCCGTGCCTTGTCACCCGAACCCCCAGCTTTCAACAGGCCGCGTGCTCTCAGAGGTCGCGGTCTGCCTCTGTGCATTGAGGCATGTACATCAAGAAGTGCGAGGTGATCAAGGTCGGATCTGCGCCTCGGTTGAACGGTCAATACATGACTGGCTTCTTGCCAAGGGCCGCTAAGTTTTCGCTAGGCTGCAAGGCGAAGGGACAGGGGTATAATTCCCACAGCTACATCGAGGAACACAGGTCACACGAATCTTGCACGACAGTGCTTTATTCTTTTCCTACAGGCGATGGCACACTTCTTCCGTTGGAGCAGGGGTTCGGACTCCAGTTGCCTTTTGCTGTTCCCAGGGAAATCTGGCAGACGGTGCCGTGGTCAGCGACGATGCAACGAAGTGTACCGCACAGAGCCGCTTGGAGAGCAGGTACCGACTGGGTCGATGCAGGTTGCTCCATGCTGCAGGTCTGCAGTGTAATTTACGAACGACGTCTCTAACATTCCGTGACTTTTGATGACTGTTACCATGAAGATGAGGATGGTGAGGGTGGTGGTGGTGGTGGTGGTGGCGGTGGCGACGACGACTACGATGGTGCTGTTTGTGTTGGGTGCTGCTGGTCGTGGTGATGGTGAGGAGGTGGAGAAGACTCATGCCGGGAGTCGCAGTATGGCCAAAGCAACCCGCAGCGTTGTCTCTGTCGCAGTCGCTGTCGTGGTGGTGCTGGTGGTGGTGGTGGTGGTGGTGGTGGTGGTGGTGGTGGCGGCGGGGGTGGTGATGGGTGGTGGCGGGGGTGGTGGGGGTGGTGGCGGTGGCGGTGGCGGTGGTCGTTGTCGTGGT